CCCAGCGTAACTGCAAAGTCTTCATCTGATGAAGCTCTGATGCGAACATCGAATGAGGGGTCAGATTTCTGTTTGGAGCGTCAGCATCACGCTCTATTCAGTAAAACCTTGTTATACTGAGGACAGGACGATATAGTTGTATTCATTACCTTCCAGGCACCCGGCGTCTCTGCATGCCTCATGAAATCCTCTCCATAAATGGCTTCAAGGGCGATGAGCTCGTTCTGCTGGAGCTCTTCATATTCCAACTTGGAGGCGGCCTCGGGACCCTTTGGTTTGAGTCCCGGAAAGCTTGAGTCATCTTCATTTTTCTGCGGTTTGTCGATGGGCTTGTTCCACACCCCGGATGATTTCCACGCCATATCGAGGACGACGAGAAAAGGCTTGACGAATCACCACAGCGCGAGCCGTGACAGTCCGTTACGGGAAAGCCATAATTGGTACGTTGAGCAAAGTTAGTTATTCAGATATAGTGATATGGGTGAAGAAGAGCTAAGAAGAAAAGAGGAAGAAGTCACAAGCGCAGGTCTAGCCGATGAAAGCGCCACACCGCGACCATCGACGGCTGGCGGCCTGGTGCGCTGTCACAGTACGGCGCATTCGCCTTCAGCTGGGTGCCTTACCGCTGCCAAACTGAAAGTGGGGGGTCGTTTTGGGGCGAACAAGTGCCCCTCAATGATGACGCTGACCGTCTTAGTTGCTCTTTTCAGTGGGCCAAGGCGCCTGAAGCTCTGAAGAACCCTGAGACGAGGGGCAATGGAAGTGACAGACATTGGAGGCAGTGTGCACACGGGGTGACTCAGCACTGTATGGGGCCAGGGGCCGAACCACGGACGCGCCGTCCGTATGCGGTAACAAAGTAAACAACTGAGAAACCACATCTGTTCGCCGCGGTCAGATCACCAAAGACTGCGCAAATAATTAATACCTGACCCGCCGGGACACGAGCGCATGTGATGTGATCCCGTCTGTCGGACTCCGCTCAACCTCAAACACCATTGATCCGCGTGCATACATCTACTGGCACAACCAACTTCCTCCACCGATAAGAAGCCCACAAGCAACCTAGGATGTTGGGCTGGGTTCTTAGACGAGGGTTGGAGGGCGCGTCGGGGGGAAACAGAGCAAACGCAGGCGCAGGTGAGAAGACCCAGCCAGACCGACCCTTCTTTCTCGCCGCATCGCACGGCTTTTCTGACTTCTAATCCACAGCAGACGACACAACACAGATTGAGCAACCAGATACGCCCGCGCCCGTCTTTGCCGCCCGCGCACTCAAAAGCGCCATCTTTGGAACACCCGCGCGACCTGACGACGATAATACTGCCACCATGGCGCGTCGCAAGGACGAAGACGACTCTGATGCTGAATCCCGAACCCCGATGAAACAGCCTCAAGGAATTCTTCTCACTCCTGGAACCGGAACCTCTCGACGGAAGCGTGTGTCGTTCGGGCACGATGTGCTGGATAACAAGAAGGTCGACAACAGAAAGGGCAAAGAAGTAGACACCGAGGAACGACCGGGGAGATTCCCAGACAGTTTTGCCGACACGACCAGCGACTCCGCAAGCAAGCGCACCAGATTGACCGAAACAATGGAGAACTCACGACGCAACAAAGGAACTTCAAGCTCGCGGGAGAGGAGCCAGACGCGGACCACCGCAGCCAGGAGCGACGATGCTGAGGACGAATGGGAGGAGGCCGACGACGACCAATGCATGCACGATATCACAATGGACCTTAACGAGCCCCATTCGCGGTCGGGCAAGTACTGGAAGTCGGAATTCGAACAATATCACCAGGACGCTAAAGCCGAGATGGAGAAATTGCTCAAGTACAAACAGCTTGCCAAGTCATACGCCAAGATGAAGGACGCCGAGGCTATCGACCTCAACGCCAAACTCAGGGAGGAGCAAGAGAAGGCCGCCAAAATGGAGAAGAAGATCTCTGAGATGGCGGCGCAGATTGCTGCGAAGCAGCGAGCCAGCGGCGAAGAGAGAGACAACCCTCAGCTCATCAAAGACTTGGCAAAACAGACTGCCGTAGCTGTTGAGTACCGGACGCAGGTGCAAGAATTAGCAGCCCTTTTAGAGAACCGCGAAAATGGCGAAGACGACGAGGGGGATGCACGAAGCAGGCGCCGGCGGCAGGCTGCCTCACCACGAACACACAAGACCTTGCTCGAGGCCCAGCGAGAATTGAGGAAGGCTAGAACACAAGTCAAGGAGAATGGGCAGCTACGAGAGGAAGTAGAGCGGCTGAAGTCCGATCTCCTGTTTGCAGAGCAACGAGCAAACAAGCTCGCCGACGAAAACAAACGGCTTGCCGAACCACAACCATCACAGAACAAGGAACAAGGCAAAGACGCCACGACGACGGGAAAGCGCGTGGACGAGCTAGAGGATGTGATTCGCAAGAAAGACGATGAGTTACGCAAGTTAAAGTCGGAGTTTGAGAATTACAGAATGGATGCCGAAGCTACGCAAGAAGATACGCGGCGCATCTTAGAGAAGGCAACGGAAAAGATCAACGAGCTCAAGAGGGAAAACAAGACTCTCAAAGCAGGAACAGCTGATGTACCGAAGACGAAGAACACTGCTGTTCTCCATGAACGAGAGCCTGCCGTCAGAGAACAACACGCTCAAGAGACTGACCGCTTCACTGCGGATCACAAAGGCCGCAAAACATCGACCGAAATAGGCCGCCGGAGCTTCGACCTGGTAGAATCACTAGGGAAGAAGCTCAACGAGCCAAAGTCTCAAAATCTTCGGGACAAATATCAGCGAGATGCCGACTCCCCTAGTTCAGACGACGAGCCGCCAGCGAGAGAACCACCAAGGCGCCCCCAGTCCGAAATCTTTTCGAACCGTGTCAGTCTTGACAAGCCTAAGTGGCGACCTTTTATCCCAAGGTCACCCCGCAACAGAGAATACCTAGGTCCTGATCTGAACGACCGGATTGCCACCTCGAGCGAGGTTCCGACAGGCAACACGCCGGCACCTCGACACAGGTTCTCCAGCAAGGACAAGGACGTACCAATCGATTTGCTACAGGATCGTTTTGCTCGGCTAGGGGGGCCGGGCGAGCCCGATGTCGAGGCCAGCACCATGCTGGCGGCAAACATGTCCAAGAGCACATTACCTCCGCAGAGACGAGCAGCGGCCATCGCGCGAATAGAACAGAGAAAGGCCGACAAGAGGCGCGCAGCGTCGGGCCAGAGCAATAACAAGGAGAACATGCGACCACAGCGCTCATAATGTTAATTTGCATTTTGGGGCGGTTCACGTTCTTCCGCTCTTTAGTGTGTATGGCGTTTGGGTTGGAGGGATATGATTCAGGCATTATTGTACGAGTAGTCTTTTTCGACCACGGAAGATGATAGCATGGAGTTTGGCGGGGGTATCATATCAACTCGGATTAATCAAATGATTCCAAGAAACCTCTCTCTCGCAGGCTGTGTGTTCCCCATGATTTACGTTTTTACCGTGTTTTTTTTTTCCTGTCTTTTATTTTTCCCTTTTCATTCCTTATGCGCTCAAGGTTCCCTTGGTGCTAGGCACCTCGCCCTCCTTACCAGCGACGCGGCTGGTGGCCATCTTGACGGCGACGGCGAGGGCCTTGAAGGCGCTCTCAGCGCGGTGGTGGTCGTTTTCGCCGCGGAGGCAGTCGACGTGGAGGGTGATTCTGGCGCCCTGGGCGAAGCTCTGGAGGCAATGGGGGATCATCTCGCAGGACAGGTCGCCAATCTTTTCGCGGCGGAGGCCAAGCTCGACGACGCTGTAGGGCCGGTTGGAGAGGTCGACGACGGCGCGGGAGAGGGCCTCGTCGAGGGGCGCGTAGGCGTAGCCGAAGCGGGCGAGGCCGGTTGCGCTGCCGAGGGCGGCGGCGAAGGCGTAGCCCAGGGCTATGCAGACGTCTTCTGCTGTGTGGTGGTCGTCGACTGTGCAGGGGTAGGTTAAGGTGTAAGTGGGTGGATGGTTCTCTCTATGTCTGGCTGGTTGTTACTGAGGGAGACGAACTGTGAAGGTCGCCCTTGCAAGCGATGGCCAGACTCCAGCCGGCGTGCTTGGAGAGGGCGTGGAGCATGTGGTCGAGGAAGCCGATGCCCGTGTTCACGCTGATGGTCTGTGACTTGCTTGCCTGGGAGGCGTGTTCGGTGACGGCCGCGGTGAGCCTCTCGTCCGTGTCGGGGGGGAATGCCCCGCCATCGAGGTTGAGTGCCATCTGGATCTTTGTCTCGTTGGTGTCGCGCGCGAGGGCGGCCCATCTGGGCGGGTGAGATGTTGCAGACATGGCTGGTGTGTGAATAGGTCAAATTTGATCGAGAACAGGGGAGTGTGTGAGGAATTAGTCTCAAGATTGAGGAAATATCGCAAGTGTATTGAGTATCATCAAAGCTGAATTGGGACTTTTTCTTGGAGTCACTAATCGTTATCAGTGGGCGCCGTGTGTCGGAGCTGCCAGTGGCGGGGAGGGGCAGACTTGGGATGAGGTGGGGCATTGCCCAATCATCACCCCTCAACTGTCAGCGATTGCAGCCGCCATCAAACAGAAGGTCAGGAAGGTATTACCACGATTACCTAAGGTAAGGTAAGTAAATCGTACCCGACCGCTTTCTCCAATTTTCACCGCTTGGGGGGCAGGCCCACCCAAGAGAGATGGAGCTCCAGCGGCAGAAAAAAAAAGAATTCAAAAGCGCAGAGGCAGGCACGCTTCTTTGTCCTTCCAGCTTTCCCCAGCTCGCCCCCAAAAGGAGAGGACACGGGTCAGGAACAGAGCTTAGGTGACCAACACCAACACATCAGCGCTGTAGCCTGCTGTCTGATTGGTCACGTCTTCCGTTTCCCGCAACGCCCTGCAGATAAATAGTGCAGCCTGGCCAATTTGCTAGCTGCCTTGCCATCTGCAACATCACCACATTCTCTCGTTTGCTTCAACGACTTCTTACTTACCTGCCTTTTCAACGCACTGGAACATAGCTTTGCTGGACATTGTAAAATATGTCCGAGTTCCTCGATGCCTACTGGCAGGCGCCGCCTGTTGCAAGGTAAGCACAGCTCATCCCTCTTACCTTACTTCTCTTTCTCGGCCTTGCTGACTCGTCTTGAACAGAACATTTGCAACAGCCGCGTTCGTCACCTCTCTTTCTGTTCTCTTGGGCGTCGCAAACGGATACTGGTTCATCTTCATGCCCCAGTTTCTCTTCCAGATCCCGCCTCAGATTTGGCGTCTCGGGACCAACTTCTTGCTCACTGGCCCCCAACTTGGCCTGCTCTTTGACACGTACTTCCTGTACCACTACCTGACGGCGCTCGAGGTCGGCAACCCTAGGTTCGCCAGGCGCGAGGATGTCATCTGGTATCTCATGTTCGTTTGCACTGTCATCACGGTAAGTTGTTATTGTCGCTGCTCCGGCAGTCCGTCCAAAACCATGCTATTTCCCCTTGGGAAAACTTCCTCTATTATACACAATGCCCACACGAGAGAAGAAATATCTTCCTCTCTTGCTATACACACAACTCTCTTGCACCTCATATTATCTGCCCGCACAGTGGATTCCCACAGCTGTCAGCGGTTCCTGGAAATGAGGAAGATTACCCTCACGGCGCGACCCGTCCTCTTTCGCTTTAGGGACGTGGCTTGTGGCGTGGGCATGGTGGGATGTCTTATGGATGGCTCGTGCAACCTCACAATGTTGCTCGAGTGGTTTTCTTAGCGCCCTACATATCAACACCCGAACTCTGGGTTTTTGTTTCACTTGTTCACTGTTTATACCATTATCATGACCATCATTATCATCATCCAGCTTCGCCCCAAAGGAGCATGCGCTAATATCGCACAGGCACTCTGCACCTACCTCATGGGCGGAGGAGCCTTCCTGCCGGCTTTGATTCTCGCCATGTGCCGTACCGTCACCCAAGACCAACGTGGGATGAAGGCCAACTTTTACTTCGTCACCATCCCCGCCCAGCTCACTCCGTTCTGCATGATGCTCGTGTCGTTGCTGTTCCCTGGCGGATACTACACCGCCATGCTCCAGCTTATGGGCTTCCTGGCCGCTCACCTCTATGATTTCCTGTCCCGCGTGTGGCCTGAGTTCAGCGGAGGCAGCAACCTGATCCCTACGCCCGGCTTCCTGTCTCGTCTTGTGCAGACGCCTCGCTTTAATCAGCGTGGATACGGAACCGCTGTTCGCGGTGGTGGTGGCTCCGCCCAAACTTCGGGTAGCAGCACTGGTGTATCACAGGGCGGCGGTGTTTTGCCCGAGTCGTGGAGGACGAGGGGGCCTGGTAGACGTCTAGGTTAATCAAGATTACATGAGGTAGTATGTAGTATGTATGATAAGGTCAATTATATGAGCAATGATGCTTTCTACCTAAGCTTTTGCTACCTGATTGATGGCGTGGTATACCGTTTCGCTTCACGCCGTTCAACTCCTTGAACCAGAACTCCTTGATATCTAGCGAACGTTGAATATAAAAGACAGCCACTTCTTAATTCACCAAATTTAATCATTCCAACAAATTCGACATTATCCGTAGAGGGTGCTCTTCCCACTGCCAATGGGTATATCCCTTTCCCAATCAGACGGGTCAACATCTCTCACCGGAGCAATAGTAGTTGTGACAGGACCCCCAGCCAGAGGCCTATCTTGGAACCTGGACTCTCGCAGGCTCAGCGGTTCGGATATGCTCATCCCAGCCGCGTTGTTCATGCCGTCAATGGGCGACGCACCAGAAACGATGATCTGAGGTGGTGCGTACTTCTTTGGAATACGGAGCCGAGGCATCGTTGGCATGGAAATTGAGGGGACCATCGTGGTCCGCGGAGGCGGTCCAGCTGGTGGCGGAGGGAGAAGCGGGCTAGTTCTTTGGCTCGCCAGGCCACTGTGCCACCGTGACGGCGCAGGCGAAGAGGACCGCGAAGCGACCGTCGGCGGGAAGATAGGTATGACACCCGAGTCCATGGGAGGAGGAGGGTAGTTTTGGTTCGGCGGCGTCACCGAATGCTGCGTCTGCCGGCTCATGGCGCGCGGGATGTACGCCGGGTGTGTCGGGAGGGCGCTGCCGGCGTTGTGATGCGCCATGTGCGGGTCAAAGTTATAGCTGGCGTTGCTCCGTCCTATACGGCTGTCTTCCTCGTAGTAATCGGCGCTGGCCATGTGTTTCTCCTGGAGCTCGTAGTTGAACGAGTTGATGGAGGATGACTTTTTGTGGTCGGCGATGGGTAAGTACGGGTTGATGGCCGTGTGGGAGCTCGCGTTGCTGTCCGCCCGCGGCGGTAGGTCTTCGCGATCGCGGTTCGCTTCGTCGCGGATTTTCCGTTGTTTGCGGCAGTAGACGACGAAGAGGCAGATGGCCCCGATGAAGACGAGGCCGCCGCCGACCGCGATGCCGACAATCGTGCCCATCGTCATTGTGGTGGCGGAGGCCCCCCCGTCTCCCGGCATCGTCGTGTTTGTCGACTGGTCGGTGATGTTGACGGGGGTATCAGAGAAGATTTGCCCCGTCAGAGCGATGACATTTCCGAGGGCCGGCTTCTGCTGGCATCCTGCCTTCAACGCAATCAGGACTGCGATGAGTGGTCAGTGACGTGGATGAGAAGCACAGTCAGGGGGTAACACCAACAGTTGGACAGGTAGCTTTGCTGCTCGCTCGACTGCAGACACTTTACACACGGCCAGTAGCTGGAAGGAAACTTTGCTCCGTCTGCGATGCAGTAGTCATAGGTGTTATCACTATTTGATGTCGTGAGGGATGTCGTCAAGGCGTTACGAAGTGGTTCGCAGGCGGCTTTGATGCCGCAGGGAGAGTTAAGATCCGACACCGCTTCGGGGAAACTGTAGATACAAGAGTCTACCGCATATCTAATGTTGCCTTTTTGAGATGTTAGTGCATCCTACAATAGGTATCTCTGGACTATCCAGAGGGGGTGGGGAGATTGTCCATACGCAGAAACGCTGCCGTATCACTGTCTGAACCCTTCGTCGCCTGGCTTTCCTGCAGACAGCTGACGCAGTTTTTGAATTTGATTCCCTTGCCCGACGTGTGATATTGATTGTTCTCGCAAACAATATCGGATGAGTTTGTAGGCGAGGCCGATGTGTCTACCGATGTCCCGTTCGATCCACCCAAACAGAGTGCCGCACAGTCCGAGTCGGGTGTTACGTCCAGGCAGAATGCCGTCGATACGAGAGAGACGGTAGCGACCAGTCGCCAGGTTGATGAGAACGTCATGTTTGCCCTGTCAACAGGACGGAAAAGATGTTCGTAGAGAGAAAGCGAGAAGGAGGAGGGGCGCGGGAGGGTCGGTCGATATGTTCTTCACCTCGATGGCATGGCATCCACAGTCACAAACCAAGTCCACCAAGTAGAGGTCAAAGAAATATATCTACACGGTTGATGAGAACTCCAAAATGGAGAGGGAGAACACCAGTCTCTCGACCCAACTTCGACTTTCCACTTGGGGCTTTGGGGAGATATAGCATACGCCGCCGTCATCAACGGGATGCACAGGTGGTATTGCAGTTTTGACCTCTGCAGAGGCAACGCGGCTCCAAGCACGCAGGCCTTGCCATTGCAGAGGGCGTTCCCGGGTTGTACGGCCGGTGGTGTAGTGATGTGCATTAGTGCCATTGGCGTCGAATTTCGCAAAGTCCATTACAACTTGTAAGTGACCAAGGGATTGCAGTATCTCACTCCGAAGAGTCGAAAAATAAGTTGTCTCCCATGCAACAACCCCAGACCGGAATCTCAGAATAGCAGCTCCAATGTTGGTGGATGGGGCACCTCGACCAGTCAGACCCCCTGCTCTAGACTCCGGGAACAAAGTCGCTGTCCAGCCGTGGCCGCCCGACCAATGGGAGACTGGCAAGGTGGGAGATTCCAGCGGCAAACAGACAAGAGGATCGGCCAGGGTTGAGAAACAAACAGGGGCCGTAATTGGACGGGTAAGACAGGCAGAGCGGGAGGCAATGGAACGTAAAACAACTATGGGAAAGAAGACTGAGTGGCCCTCGTAGACGCCGGCCAGGGAGGCGGCCCTCCCTCCCCCATCCTCACTTCTCCTCTGCGTGCTTCCTACTCCGTCTACGTTCAGTGTCTTGCTTTTCTGACCAGTCAGCGGCAACGTCTACCCTGCCTCCAAGCCGGAAGAGCCTATCATACAAATCATCCATGTCAGCCCAAGAGTAGAAGGAGCGGGGAAATCAGGCCACTCGCGCCAAGGCGGCTCGAGAAGGGCCTGTATCTTTGAAGCCAAAATAACTCGTGGAAGCAAGGGCAGATCCACAGCGCTTCGAAGCGAGTGACTTTCGGCGCAGGAAGAAGTCTGACTGAGGCACGGAAGAAGGATTCAGGAGGCGCACGAAGGGTTCAGACTGAAGAATCAAAGCCGATACCGAAATCGGGACATTGGCCACATGGACGCTCTTGATGGATATTATCTCTGAATGTTTCGTCTGATGTGACTGACACATGTGCTTGCCATAAGGCTATTCTGTCATCCCAAACAGATGACAACGTTGAACTTGAGCGACATCACGGAGCGAAAGCTGAAGTTGCTTTTCAGCTTCCACGAGGCAGGCTAAGGGCGAGCTAGGCTACTTCACTGGTAAGTGTGTCACTTTGCCGCGGCAGCGGCTACTCAACCCATCCAAAATCCCAAGCGTAAATCATAAATCGTTCATTAATTCGGGTGTGGACTGCAAAGTAAGGATCCGTGAATAGTAGCGTAGGAGTGTGACTGTGGCTGCATGACCGGCCCTCTCATTCTACTTGGCTGGGGGTAACGTCTCGAGCTTGGCACCTACTCACTCATTCTTGTGTGAGTAAGCAAGATCTGAGCGATTTCCTTACCATTTTGGATGACAACGAGTTGCTGTTGGTTTTGATGCTGTTTGTATTAAACTACTCCAACATCCCTCCCTTGGCGTTTCGAGACCGTGTGCTTCGCTGATTTGTTCAACTGTCATTCAGGGGGCTACGTGGATATCCTACGAAGCCAACTTCACTGACAGTCTACACTTTGCACCAAATCACTATAATAGTAACAAACAACGGGCCGGGAACAGGCAAAACATTGTCATCGTTCCTGTTATATGCGGCCAGGGCTCAGGCATCAACTCTTCACGTATCACATTCGCGGGCCCTCGCAGACATCGTGGTGATACGACAGGTGACAGCAGACAGAAACTATGGTTTGGCATATATCACTGGCTTGAAGCATCGTACTCAGAATGAGCTTAGCGCAAACCTGACATCCGTACGAGCAATGGTTCTCAGCTTTCATTTTGACAATTCTCTGATAGCTTGGCCCCTTTTGGGCGTTGCACGAACTTTCAATACTTGTCGGAAATGGAAAGTGACAATCCCACATCATCCTTTCTGTCCTCAATTGGTGAATATGATCTCTCCCGTGTAATCAGTGAAGCCTTTCCTCAGACTGCTTGCAGTTTGAGAACACCATTGTGTGGGTGACACCACCTGCTTCAAACTGAACGCTTGTCAGTAAATCGGGCATTTCTGCCAGGACACATGCTTTCACACGCGTCTCTCAACGTGTCCCTTATCTGTAGATCAACGAATCGATGTGTCTGCCCAGGTAATGCCAACGGAGATTCAATTCCCTCCACGGCCCAGTTCGATACGATGGTGGCATTACAAATGTGTCGTGCTACGTAAACTGCTTGGACCGACCATTACATGCTCTGAACGGTACTCGGGCGAGATCCAGTGAAGTTTTCGACTGGGTTCCTGAGCACTGTCATCAAATTTAAAGTCTATCTGCTTGCTTGCTATCACGAAACCCCATGGTTTCGGCCCTGTTTTGGAGAAGATTTGGTTGTACAAAGTGTTGTCTGGATCATGTGTTACTCTTGCAATCAACTCATGAGTCCAGATCTTGATCTGTATACGATGGCAGAAACACAGTCAGTAAACAGCTAGGCAGCATTGAGCTCAACTACATAAGACGGAGACCGAACAGAGTTTATTCAATTTATCCTAGATCTCAAGACGAAGTCTCAATCATCCTTCTATCACAATATTGACTGTTCATCATGCACATCCGCTCACTTATGCTGTCTGCCATTTTGGCGAACCTAAGCCTCGGGGCTCCGGCCGAACCAACACAACCTCAAACCCCCGAAGACTGGTCACTCTTAGGCTTCCGACGGATCTGCGAGCAGGAACGAGGCAGCTGCAGCTACAGCTTCCTCATCTCCGAAGACTCGGGAAAGGCGCCGAAATACTGTGACTTCACCATCGATGCCGCAGGTGGACTCCCTGCATACCAGACCGATTTCTCGTCTCTCAAGTGCCCCGGTGCTCCCGAATACACTATCAACGGCGGTTGGGATGAGCGTGAATTCATCACGTTGACCGTCATCAACGACGACAGACAGCTCCTGGCTTTCTTTGCCTACAAGGATACTGACTTGTGGGCCGGCATTGAAGCCTCGCCCCAGACGTCCAAAGTCTTCCTCTATCCCCTGTCAGTCAAGCGAGATGTCGGAACTAGGGACGAACCGTCAGGCCTGGCGTACGCTGCTGACTGGAAGATCTTGAACCTCGTCAGATGTGAGTTTTCATATAGGCCTCCTATTTGCTCAAGCAGTGGTCGATGGCATTTGCTCACAAATTCCGTTAGATGAATTCAACCGAGGAGCGCCTTACACCGACGCCATCATCATGTCCTTCCGCATTCAAGCCGGTGAAGCCCCGACCGAAATTTGTCGTCTCATTGTTCCGATGTTTGAGGGCACAAGGCCGCTTGGCAAGAGTTTCGCCTACGAAGAATGCATGTCTGGAGGCTGGACGGTGTCATGGGGTCACAATGAGACCACGAGCGAAGCTGTGATGACACTGATGAAGTAAGACTTGAAATCCCCTTCTCCCTTCGCCAGAAGCTAACAACGCTGGTAGCCCGAACCATGACAGAGCTGCTTTCTTTGGCTTCAACAATGTCAGCACCAACACTCTACTTGGTGACAACGGACCTAATGCTGTCTCTGTATTATTCTGATTGAAAGCAATTGTATGTTAAGGTGGCGGCACGAAGTCCCCTAGGAAGTTGGGGTGAACGGGACTGGCGCGATGAGGGATAAATTCTTTTCTTCCCTTTTTTTTAAGGCATCTTGCTGGGTGTTTCAATTCTTACAAGACTAGTGGTAGGTAATTACGTTGTCGTTGGACGGTGTTTGCAATACATATCTAGGCTACTTTCTACATTGAAGTAGTTGGACCCAAACTCATTACTCCGCAAACGAGATGCTGTGTGAGGGGAAATGTCAAGATGACAAACGACTTTGCGCTGTTGACAAACTTGTTCGCACAACTTTCTCGTCCATGCTCTAGAGCTGTGGTTGAGGAAGGAAAGTGTAGGAGGGTAGTCTCTGCTTGAGAATGAACAGCCCGAAGCCAACGTGCTGTTCAAACATCAAAAGCAAACGAGCCGAATTCTGCACCTAGCATTGAGTCTTGACAGAGAAGATGTTCACTCAAGAAACACCAACGGCTGAAGCTTCTTAGCCACGGCCAAGTAGTCAGACATGTTGGCAGACAGACAGTATGTTCCAATATGTTCGAAAACAGTCTCAACTCGAAGCCACAAGAGACTAACAACTGACTTGCGGGATACAACACTAGTCCCATACGCCAATATGCCACAAAGAAGCGGCTCTAGAGATGGGTGTTCGGATCACGGGTCTCAGGGTTTCACAAACAACGAGAAAATATCGAAGAAAGACTGGATACAGCCAATAGAGGACTAGATGCGTAAGTAGGAAATGCCGGCAGGTTGTGCTGTGCCGCCGCCACACATGCTATCCACGTGTGGGAGGGGACGCATCACCAGCGGCTGCTACCGAGATTACGCTGTCATACATCGCGTGCGCGAATTGCGGATACCGTCCGTGGATACCTTTGACGTGACATAGATACGAATAGCGGCTTTCTTGCTGCGTCCCGCATAAGCATGCTGGAGGGCAATCACTCAGTACAATCTCCTCTTCGTACATATTTGACCGCTCACTGATTCCACTGTCGCAGAGCAGACAAAGGACTTGATGCTTATAGACCTCTCGTGACCACTGCTTGGTTTTACAGCGAGTACATGCCGACCACTCATTGCGTCTTGCTGGCTGAGAAGGAGTAGCAGCTGCCCCTCTTCTCGCGCAACATTGTAAGATGAACGATGCCAGAAACGTTCGATGGATCATCAAAACCCACGACCTCTTCTCACCGGTCCCCTTTGAGCGATACGATGCCGACCTCACCAGTAAGGTCGACCAGCGTGAACAGGAAGCAAAGCGCCGGCTGCAATGGCACCCTTGGGTCCCCTGTCAGGGCCGAGCCTGGCGGCAAATGGCGCTTCGCTGTTGGTTCTTGCAAATGTGCCATCACACGCTACCAATCACCTCGCTGAACACTGCATGTCTGCGCCTCTTTGGCCACACACTGAGAAGCTTGCTTGCCCTACCCGCAGTTTGCGCTGTAGTGCAGCCCCCTGTTCTTTCACGCAGATCTCCCCTGAGAAGGGCGTGACCGTTGGCCAGTGGCTGGCAACTAAGCATCACCAGGCCCGGGTTTCTGGCAACTTGGCTGCTGTGCTGCTCTCCCGCCCCCAAAACCGCACAGGCACTTTCTCCATAATTTCTGCCTCCCCCAGTATACTAATTCCCAAAAGGTATTGTGTCGTACCTCATCTGTACCACCATTCACCCCGCGGACAGTGTCTGAATCCGGCTGCAACCAACAGCATTATCTTTAAACCTTGATGCCCGAGGATTTTCGTTCATGTGTCTGCCATCATCAGGCGTACTACTTTTCTCACCAACGGCGACAACTCGCGGCACAGGCAGAAGGGCCGCTGAGGTCAAGATTCGGAACGCCGTTGTTGTAGAGGGCACGCTGGTCAGTTGACAGAGGCGATTCAAAAGATGAGGATAGGCTGTCTACAGTTTGCCCCTCAAGTGGGCGATGTTGACAATAACCTCAACCGAGCCGATGCCGTCTTGAGCAAAGCCGACCCTGGAGAGCTCGATCTTCTCGTTCTTCCAGAGCTGTCCTTCTCCGGTAAGTCGATCGCGGATGCTGGGCTAGGCTGGGCAATGAAGATTGCGGCTTCTCGTGGTCATTAGCACTGTAGAAGGCGAACTGCAGTGCTGCAGGAGAGTTTTCCTCCTTGGCATACACTTACACTGCTTTTCCTCAATAGGCTACAATTTCACGTCGTTGAATCATATTGCGCCTTACCTCGAACACTCAGGCTCTGGCATCACGTCGTTATGGGCTCGAACAACTGCCCTCAAGTACAGCTGCAATCTCGTTGTTGGATACCCAGAGAAAGTTGACATCACCGAGGACTGGCCAGCAAGTCCCGAATACTACAACGCGGCCCTTGTAGTCAACGAGGACGGCGAAACGATTGCGAACTACAGAAAGTCGTTTCTGTATTATACCGACGAAACCTGGGCACTGGAAGGAGATGAAGGGTTCTACAGAGGAACCATCCCCGGCTTGGGCCGAACTTCTATCGGCATTTGTAAGTTTTCGGAGTTCAGTCCGTTTTTGATCAAACTGCGTTTACTGACTATCATGCAGGTATGGACATTAAGTGAGTTTGTGTAAACGCCAAGTCACAGTAGTCGCTAACTGCCTGCAGTCCTTACAAGTTTGAAGCACCGTGGCACGCGCACGAATTCGCATTCCATGTCATGGAGTCCTATTCTAACTTGGTTATCATGTCAATGGCTTGGTTGACCCGCGCAGATGCACAAGTGTTTACGTCGACCCCGAATGAACCCGATATGGACACCTTGACTTACTGGGTCGCTCGCCTGGAGCCCCTGATTCGGAGCGAGAATGACGATGAGATCATTGTGGTGTTCTGCAACAGAACCGGCATAGAAGACGACGCTGTCTACGCCGGCACTAGTGCTGTTATTGGTGTCCAACACGGCGAGGTCAAAATTTACGGGGTTCTCGGACGTGGTGAGAAGAAGCTGTTGGTTGTCGACACGAACCAGGCACCTTATGCAAAGCTGGTCTATCGCCCTGAGCCTGAGGAACCTCTTACTGCCCAGGATGAGAAAACCAACAGCACAGAGCCTCAAGCCTCACCAAACTTACCCGAGACGGCCTCGTCTTCAAGAAGCCAAGCCGGAGACCAAAGTCCTGCAACGCCTTCGGAACCCTCGGTGAAGTCGACAAGTGCTTCCGTCCGCTCCCACTCTTCCAAGGGTTCAACTGAGCGTACTCCAGTTGCAAAGCGTGCGAAGCCACCAAATATCCTCACCGGACAAAACATGCCCAAGTCACCCTTGCGATCTCCAGGTTACCACGACGTCAACCTCCCAACGCCCACTGCTCCTAGCCCGACACCATTAGCAACTCGCCCGAAAATATCTATTCCGGTGCGATCCGCGAAAGCGGCTGAGCTTCCAAACCCGGAGCCCAAAAGTGCCTTATCCACTTGGTCTTCCCGTTCTGTTCTCTCTGATGATTCAGCAACGTCATACGGATGGTTGTCTCAAGCCTCACAACTTGCGCAGGGCAATGAACTCTTGAACAGGTACCTCACGACGCCCCCCAATGGGCCCATGTTTGATGGCCAAGCTTTGAACTCAGAGGCCTGCTTCAGTCCGATCACCCCATTCGATGAGATGGCTCCGTCTATGTTCCGGTCTTTCAAACTCCCCCCAGATAATGTTGGCGGCAAGCCCATCCAAGATGATAAAAGCGGGAGCGCTGGCTCGGACGTGGCAACCGATTCCAAGACTCTTCGACAAGATGAGCAACCTGTCCCATTGTTCCATAGAGACGAAAGGCCCGTGAAGCAGAGACGAAGCTCCGCCAGCCTTCGCACATCAACCACTCATTCCCCGGCGAGAAGGACCTCTAGTCGCAACTTGAGATCAAAGTTTAGCCAGCCCGATTTGAGCGCAGAACGCCGAAGAACAAGGAATTCAGCAGGCGTGCTGGGCAGCCCGGTTAAAGCTGAGAAAATAATCATTCCTGAAGACGAGCGCGGACTTTCGTCAGCCGGGCCGTCTCTGAAATCTCGGTCTCGCATGTCCAATCGCATCGATACGAGTTCGCCGCAGAGCGCAACGTCTCATTCATCTTTGCAGCACCTCGACTTTACGCCCCAACGGGAACAGGCTTCCCGTCGAACGCCGTCTCAATCCGACGTCAAGTCGCCTACCAAAAGTAGTGAAAGTCGACAGAGTCAGCGTAGTGAAGTTCTGCGCTCAATCATTGACGTCGAAAACGTTGCCGGGCGCCCTCCATCCGCCTCTCAGGTCAACGAGCGGCAACGACTGGCGCAACGAACCGGAACTGGTCAGAGCAGTCATCGGAGAACAAGATCGACGTCAGATAGAGGCTTGGACGAACCACGCGGCTCCAACAAGGTCTCATACACAGCCACGGGTAATAACCTGGCAGCACGCCATGGAGTCATCCGGAACCAACAATCTGACATTGGTCTGAGAGAGAAGGCTCGCATCTTCGGCAATGACCAACCAAGGCCGCTGAATGGAAGAGGTGACAGATCCATGGCTGAAGCGTTGCTTGGCTTGTCTAACTACAACGCCGGTTCATCGTCTTCAGCTAGCAATGGTAAGGCCGGCCAAAGACGTACACCCGACGCATTTGCGAGCCCTTGGAGTCCGATCGAGCCGACGACTCCAACAGCTATGTTGGGACTGCGTGACGAGGCTCGCGTTGTTGGTTGATGGATTTCATACAGGACCCATGCGGTTTGCTCCATAGATGCGGCACGGGCTGCAGAGCATGTCACCAGCTGGGTCTTGGCGGATACTGTTCAGGTGTGCCATTTTTGCTTCCAATTTTTGCTTGGGTGCCGTTTATTGAGATTTTCGGATTTGGAAGTTTTGGAACACGCGCAGACAATGTGGGTTTTGGGATGGAAGGATAATGGACGACAGCCAAGGTAGAAAAACGGATGGGTTTAAGCATATCTGTTCTTGCGTTCGGCGTGCGGATCTGGGAAATACGAGCTTTCTATGTGTTATGACATTTTCTATATTTCTCGACAAGGGAAAAACTATGAGTCAAACGTCCCCATCCATTGTCGGGTACCCTTCCCGTGTTCGAGACCGTCACAATCATGCGGGCAGCGGCCTTCCAGGGTCCCGAGCGGTTGATCAGGATTTGCGGCCGTAGAGGAGCGCTCATGATTGCAAGAACCGTACACCCGGGACACGAGTAGACTTCCTCATTTCGCCCAGACTCCGTTCGACTAACCGCCGTGTTGATCAACTCGACCAAGCAATTCATCCGGCGTAGCCATTGTCCCACTGTAGAGCTTCGGGGGTCTTATGCGACGAACTTACAACCCTGGCGAGTGGAATACCGAGGGGATGGCACCGGCGGTTGCGGATGCAAGAGAATGGACTTCATAATATGAGCTGATGATCATATATGTATTTGCTCATGAGCGGGGAGCCTTTCTGGCTCTGGACTTTGAAGATGATCGAAGTCGTTCAAGCTAGACAGGCACACTGAGTGACTAGCAGTTTGTTATCGATTGTGAGGCAGCTGTGAGTCCATACAAGCTCACAAGGAGGGGACGATATTGAAGAACAGACCGGGGTGCCCTTGTCCTTCTCCTCATTCCGGGCGGCTAAAGTTGTTTGTCCGACCACATCCGGCAGGCGACCGGCTCGCGCGATCGCCAATCACCGGGGCGGAAGGGGAGTCCCGCAGCGCAGGCGTTAGCTTTGCTGATGTGTGAAATAGAGCAGGGGTTCGTGCAGCTCTAGCACCGTGACATCTGCCGTTTTCTGTAATCTGAGTGGCTGGGCTTTGCAGCAACCCTCTGCCCATCGGCGCCACGAGAACCAGCGAGGGGCCAGCGACTGGCAGCGAGAGGGCGAGGAAACAGGATTGCAGTTTGCTCGCTGAACGGCCGCCCGCCACCCGCGGCGGTGAGTTTTGATGCGGCCGGCCCCAAGCCTCCAAGAAGGTCTTGCACAGAGAGGGCTTCGCAGCTTAAGGTGGTGCCTACGCCTTTCTCTCCTGTGAGCTGACTCTTGAGTCTTGGGGGTTGGCCTTTTCACAGACCCCGAAGATCCCAAAGAGGCATGTTCTCGAGGTTCGTCCATGGTTCGAGGACACCACCATTGCTGTGCCACTCCAATACTCACTCTCGCCCTGGACCCCAATCACACGCATATGCTTGGCTCCGCCAACAACCAACACGCTGTTGGAACCGTTGTGCTCCGGCATATGGGGGTTCTTTCGCGCCGACCTGCCACCTCTCGTCACAATCACAGTGATCCCACCTTCTCTCTTGCAAACACCGAAACACATATGAAGCCTTGTTTCGCATTGTCCACGATCGTTGAGCCTTGCCTCGTCACATCGCGTATGTCACTACAGATATTCGCATAGTAAACTCCATCGACGCCTGACCGCCTTCAATACGGATAGAACCCGTCAGACATCCGGCGCTCGCAGGCATGTAAGACAGACGTCTCGCCCCTCAGAAAACGGTTTTCAGCTGGGACTTCTCTAAGAGGCCTTGTGAATCAACACCTGCCGACTCACTGGTCGGACCAGCAATCTCGAAATCTCAAATCGCTCTCGCTATTTCTTTCCAAAGATGCGCTCTTCGACGGGCGTCCTTGTGCTAGGCCTCTGGCTTAGCCGGGTGTCGGCTATCCACGTGGCTAATGGTTCACCTTGCCAGACACTATGCGGCAACGTACTCGATGCGACGACCAAGAATGACGTTGTATGCGACGAGCACTCGTACTCCAGCAGCGCCGGTTCTGTCTATCAGCAATGTGTGTCTTGCGAGTTGAGCAGTGACTATGCGACTAGTACCAACGAGACAGACACGCAATGGGCATTGTGTATGTGCATTATCTAGGCTCCAGACAGAAGAGGAAGCTGACCTTGTCGGTGTAGATAATTTACGTTACGCCATTTCGTACTGTACTTTTGGATATCCAGACAACCCAAACGTCGGATCTAGCCCGTGTCTCACAAGGTATGTCTAGCAGTGACTTCGCAAACTGTGGTATTTAGTAATCGTCAGATAGGACTGCGTGCGAGCCATTGCAAAAGGCAATCACATACAGCGATCTGGCTTCCAACGTTACCGAGTTTGAGTACTGCGATGTCTGGGATCATAACCAGGTCGCCAGCTGTTCATCGTGCCTCCGTGCAGGAAACAATAACTTCATCAACAATTGTGTGTATCGCCACGACCCTGGTGTTAGCAATTGACTGACAAGCCCTTAGTTCTCACCATCCTAGACGCGGGCTGCCAGCAAAAACCTGTGCCCGGCACTACCATCTCTGTTGACGGGTCCCCATTCTCAAAAACTCGAGTTAACATCACGGAGCCAACGCCGACGAACACGTACGTCTCGGACTACAACAGCGGTCCCATCAGCCTCGGCGGCAAGGTGGGAATTGCGATTGGAGGCGTTGTTCTCCTTCTTGTGGTTGCCGGTTTCTGCATCGTGTGGAACGGGAAGAGGAGACGAAGAGCATTCTTGAAAACACTCGAAATGAAACAGCAGGGTGGCGGCGGTCGGACCGGATGGCCAACGCCGCTGAATACCAGTGGCATCGGCGGTACTCCCCTCAGCCAGAAGCCCTTGCGAACCTGGGACGCCTCGCCGCAGAGCCAAGGGCCTTCTCGTGGATGGGACGACTCACCAATGAGTGCCAATGGGGAACAACCGTACACGAGATACTTCTCTCCATACTCTTCTCAGTACAACAGCCCAGTGAGCGGTGCCGAGGCACCTGCCATGCAATGGCCGGTAAACGACGCGAACCCTCAACGACAACCTCAAGAGATTGGTCTCGCATTCGGAGGAGATAATCAAGAGCAGAGGTGGAATGACTCGAAAGGAAAAGAGCGATCCGAGTCGTACGAGATGAGAGATGTTGAGCCTGAGTGGGACGCCCGACAGAGGTACCCAAGCCCACCCAATGTCCAGCAGCCGGCGCACACGGTGTACGCTGAACACAACCCGGCGGCCTACCACGGTCTGACAGAGGAGGATTTGCGGAGAGGATATGCCCTCTGATGCGCAATGTAAATGGTACTGAAGGTATCGTGGGATGGAACGTGTCGCTCCTTCTGCATCCAGTATTTGTTTGTTTTACCTTAGCGGGAGTTAGGAGTCGGCGATACCGATTGATGAGCATCAGCTTTGAAGGCTTGATAGCAGAATAGGCCTGGGCCGGTCTACTGGCAATACATCTGAGATAATATCAGAAATCCACTGTGATGATGGATGTTTGAAAGATACGAGCGCTGGGTGTGAGTGATTGTAATCCGAACCTGAACCTGTCGTCATTCGTCCCATTTCCCTTGTGGAGGTATCGTTGATAACGATAACAAGCCACTTTCTTTGGTTGTTCTTTCCTTCCAAGTTTTCTTTGCAAGACGGCTGGTCCCTGGCTGAGGAAGGCGGAACGGTGCAAGGCGCGTCCGCTGTGTGGCTAGGCGTTGGAGCGTGGCCAATCGTGTTTGCTCAATGGCAACACCGCGCCACAATGTGGATCCAGACGGATTTTTTTTGGCAGCTTCCACCCCACAGCCAGAGAAAAAAATTTGGATTGGGAAGCTTCAAGTCCTCCAACACCACGAGACCTTCCATTCCGACGTTCACGAGCCAACGTCAGACACCCATTGCACCTGACACGCCTTTGTCGGTTCGGTTCAATTCGGAAACAATGGCCATGGAAATTGTCAAGCACGGCGAGGAGGAGGAGTTCGCCATCAAGCCCCAGGCCTCTGTCCCTCACCTGGACACGAGCAGCTGGCCTCTGTTGCTCAAGAACTACGACAAGCGCAAGTTTTCTCCCTCTTCTTGGATATGGAGCGACCGCTCGTCAACAGCATCACAAACAAATGACTGACCAGGCTTCTTGCAGTTCTCGTCCGGACGGGTCACTTCACCCCCATTCCGGCAGGATGCAGCCCTCTGAAGAGAGACATCAAGTCCTACATCTCTTCCGGTGTCATCAACCTTGACAAGCCCTCCAACGTATGTTTCCGTAGTCGCGATACTCCATATGTCTAGTCAAGCATACTAACTATCGAACAGCCCAGTTCCCACGAGGTTGTCGCTTGGGTCAAGCGTATCCTTCGGTATGCAATTCCCACCCCTTCGTTGTTGTGTTCGTGAATGCAATGCCCCGCGCCCGATCGTACGATTAGCTCCCGACATCGAAGACGAATCTCCCTGCGGCAATGGCCAGCATCAAAATTTGGCATGAATGGTGGCACTTGGGTAGCGAGTCCGACGTCGACAAGACGCATTTTGCAGATGGCTCCACACGATGCGGTCGGGGACTTCCCGGGGGAAAACTTCCAACGACATTGCGACTCGATGGTCATGGCCTACACGGAAATATGGCAACAAAGACTAGCATGTCATGTTTGGAAAGATGTGTATTGCCATGGGAAGGCATGCCTCGCGAAGCAATCGTCGGAACTTGTTTGCCCGGACCACCATAAGACTGCGACGTCTTGGGACTGCGGATACTGCCGTTGCCGTCTGTCAACCGAGAACACACACGATCGAACGATTTTGAGGGGCATTCGCTTATCATTCAGAACATTCTGAGTTTTGTCGAGAAAACATCGCTAACCATGTTTTTCTGTTGTGCAGCGTTGAGAAGACCGGTCACAGCGGTACCCTTGATCCCAAGGTCACTGGTGAGTCGCGTTCCCACATAACTG